GAGGCCATGTTTCTTTGGGGGCTACTTCAAAAGACGAGTCAGGAAGATGCCAGGAAAGTACCCTAATGAAAAGGAGTCTTCTGCATATGAAACCGAGCTCATGGGCTGTCCGGACATGGAGAGACTACTACTTCACACCAGGGGTCCCCTTCCACTGTGGATTCTGGGCATTGAAATCAGATCATCAGGCTTTTGTACTTTACGTACTAAACCTATAAGCCAGCCCTAAATACTACATTAATTTTTAAAATACAGAACAGTGAATCAGGATCTTGTTATATAGCCCTAGCTTGTCTGGAACTCACTGTTGAGACTTGCAGCCATCTTCTTGACTCTGCCTCCCAACTGCTGGGATTATGGGAATATACCTCACCATGTCTACCCTTGTCTTCTATGTTTAAGTTTTTTTATCATTTTGTTTTAAGTTTATAGTCATTTTATCAATGAATACTTAGGCACCTCTTTCTTGGTCATTTTTAACTTTATTTCATATAAAGCTTGACTTCCTGGTTTCTTGTTCTTTGTTACATTCATATGGCTAAAACTAAGTTTTGTTCTGAGATGGGTTGTATTTTATGAGTTATTACATGACCAAAATAGCTATTTTTTTTCTCTTTTTGTGACAGGGTCTCACTGTAGCCTTATTTGTTGAAAAGATTATCCTTTCTTCATTGAACTCAGTTTGCTTATTTATCAAAAGTTAGTTGCAGCCTGGGAATGTGGCTCAATGGTAGAATGCTTAAGAACACTACTGTGTACCAGGCCGTAGATCTTAGGATAAACAAACTTTTTTTTTTTTTAAATATTCGCCTGGCGTGTTGGCATATACCTCTAATCCCAGGACTCGGGAGGCAGAGGCAGGCGAATCAAGGCCAGTCTAGTCTACATAGCAAGTTACAGGCCAACTGGAACTATATAATGAGACCCTGTCTTAAAAAAATAAATAAAATTAAAAATCAGCCAAGCAAGGTGGTACATGCCTTTAATCCCAGCACGTGGAAGGCAGAGGTAGGTGGATTTCTGTGAGTTTGAGGCCAGCCTGGTCTACATAGCGAGTTCCAAGCCAGCTAGGGATACAGGTAGACCATGACCCAAAAAGACAAAAAAATAAATAAAAATTAAAAAATATGAAAAAACAAAACAAAAAAGTTCAGTGTTTTTCTGAGCTTTTTATTCTGTACATATATGTGGGTTCTTTTTATGCCCATACACACTATCTTGATTACTTAACTCTATACCAAGTTTTAACATCAGAGTGATATATTCAACTTTTCTTTTCCAATAGTTGTAACTATTCTACTTCTTTGCCTTCCATGTAAATTTTAAAACAGATTGTTTTGTATCTTTAAAAAACCTTTTATAGACATTTTATTAAACCTAGAGGGCATAATTGTTCACACTTAAAATCTCAGCACTCAGAGGCTGAGGCATGAGGATCTCCACAAGCTCAAGACTAGCCCAAGCTACATAGAGGCTCAAGGCCAGCCTGGAGTATACAGCCAGTCACTGTCAAGAGAGAGTGAGTGAGTAAGAGAGAAAGAGGAGGGAAGAAAAGAAGGAAGGAGAGAGAGGGCATAGAGGGAAGAAGAGAGAAGGAAGAAAGAAAAAAGCAAAAGAAAAAAATTTTTATACCTATAAATGAATTTTGAGGTATTTGATATCTATACTGTGTTGAATCTTCTAACCCCAAAACACAGTATACCCCTGTATTATTTAGATCTTTGGTTTCTTTTATCAGTGTTTTGTCTTTTTATCATATAGATCAAATATGCATCTTGTTATATTTATACCTAAATATTTATTCTTTTCTTTTTTTAATATTTATTATTATTTTATGTATACATGTGTATTGTCTGCATGTAGGTGAGTGCACCCATGCCATTCAGTGCCTGCAGAGGACAGAAGAGGCTGTCGGACCCCCTGGAACTGGAGTTATGGACAGTTGTTAGTTGCCATGTGGGTGCTGGGATTCGAACCCGAGTCTTCTGCAAGGACAGCCAGTGTTCTTAACTGCTGAACCATCTCTTCAGCCCCTATTTAATTCTTTTCTTGGAGTGAGACAGGATTTTGCTGTTTTGTGAAGGCTGGTCTCAAACCTATGGGCTTAAGATTCCGTCCTACCTCAGCTCCTTGTGTAACATCCAGGCACATACCACCAATGTACCTAACTTTTTTAATTTTTTGAAAGTCTTTATTCCACAATTTATATTGCAATATTAAAAAGGGACTTAAGTTGTTAATTTTTTGTTTTGTTTTGTTGCTGTTGTACCATAAAAATCTTTTTCAATATGAGGAACTGACACTACAAGAGTTCTGTATTAAAGTACAGATTTGGGTATATGTGATTTTTATTTTAATTTTTAAGGTTTTACTTGGAAGAACCTCCAGGAACACAGAAGGTTTATTTGGGAAAAACTGCTCCACCATCTAAAGTTGTACAACTTGGAGATAAAGAACAATCTAACTGGACTAAAGAAATACAAGGAATTTCAGAGCAGTGAGTATCATAAAAAGAATGTAGTAGTTGAGTTTAAGGCTCACACCTGTAATTATAACACTCAGGGGGTTATGGAAGAAGATTGAGAAATTGAGGCCACCTGGGCTACATATCCAGTTCTATGCCAGCCTGAGCTAGCAAGAGCCTACCTACTTTGCTTTTTCTTTTTAATTAATTTATTATAGTAGAGTACATTAAATTGGGCAGGGGCAATAAGGGGAAGTGCAGATAGGGTTAGGGATCGAAATTCCATCAAATTGTGTAAAAATCACAAAAATCCAGTTAAAAAATAATAATTGGACAAAAATTTCCCAATTACCTGAGAATTTAAAAGTATTATCCTAATTAACTTCTTGGACGTTTTTGTTTTAATGGAAATTTTTTCTTGAAGCATACTTACAGACTATATATGTGTGTGTGTGTGTGTCTGTGTGTGTGTGTGTGTCTGTGTGTGTGTGTGTGTCTGTGTGTGTGTGTGTGTATGCCCTATATATATGCACTATATATACACACACATATATATATACATATGTATGTATATATAAAATAACTATATATATAAATCAGTCATAAGTGTATTACCATAGTTGATTATAAGTGTATTTCCATAGTTGATAAGTTTTTCATATATGTAGCCAGAGTATAAGAAAAAGAACCAACAGTAATATTACCAAAATCCTAGGAAGTCTTCTGTACACACTTTTAGCCATTACGACGTGTTGCCTCTTGCCCCAAGAATAGATTGTGTGTGTGTGTGTGTGTGTGTATGTCTCTGCCACATGTGTACGGGTGCCTGAAGAGGAGAGAAGATGATGTTGAATCCCCCGGAGGTGGAATAACAGGCAGTTATTAGTTGCCTAGCATAGGTACTGGGAACCAAACTCAGGTCCTATAGAAGAACAAAAAGTACTCTTAACCACTAAGCCATCTCTCCAACCCCAAAGAATAGCTATTTTGTCTTATAATCCCATCCATCTTTTTCCTATTGTTGAATTTTGGTTTTATTCTTTATGTTTGCTTTGTTCTGTTCTGCTCTGCTCTGATTGGTTTTGTTTTCCCTTATTTTAAGGTACAGTCTCATTCTGTAGTCCAGGTTGGTCTGGTACTTAAGTAGACCAGGCTGGCCTCACTTTTTTTTTTTAATGTGTGTGAGTATATTGCCTTCATGTATGTAAGTGTACCCATGTCATACAATGCCCTCAGAAATCAGAAGAAAGTGTGTCAGATCCCCTGGAACTAGAGTTACGGACAATTGTCAGCTGCCATGTGGGTACTAGGAATTGAATCCAGGTCCTCTGTAAGAGCAGTCAGTGCTCTTAACCGCTGAGCCTCCCATTTTTAATTATCGTCCTGTGAGTTACTCCTCTCAGCCTCTTGTTCTTGAATTTTGAGACAAGGGTCTCTTTGTAGCCCAGGGTGGCCTTGAACCTGATCCTCCTGATGCCACCTCTCAAGTGGCAGCATTCTATGTCCAGCTCAGGATGTATTTTTTGAGTCTGGCTGTTTTTGCTCAGTATTATGATTCTAATATTCATATTGTTACATGTAGTTATAATTCATCTGTTTTCAGTGATAGTATTAAATTATATAGATATGGTGCAAATTTATCCTTTCTACTGTCAGTGGACATTTGAGTTTTCCTTGGTGGGATCTTGTAGAGTGTTTTTGAGTATATTTCTGTTAGGTGCATTTCTAGGAATGGAAATGCTGCATCATAACATATGCCTAAGTAGAGTTTTAGTAGAGTTGCCTTAAGTTTGCAAAATGATCCTATCACTTGACACTCTAGCAACAGTTTGGAAGAATTTTGTTGATCTCTGTTCTCCTTTCTAATTATTCCTCTTTCTTCTGTCTTACCAGACAGTCTAATACAGGTAGTGTATCATTTGGTTTAATGTGCATTCTCTGATAACTAATATAAGTTGAACATCCTTTCATGTTTCTTGACCATTTGAATATACTATTTTGTGAAATGCCTATTTAAATTTTTGGCTGTTTTTTAAGTTTTTTGTTTTTTTGTTTTTTTGTTTTTTTTTTTTTGGGAGACAGGATCTCCCTGTATCCCCAGCTTGCCTAGAACTCACTATGTAGACTAGGCTGGCCTTGAACTTACAGAGTGCCTCTGTCTCCCAAGTGCCCAAAGTGCTGGGATTAAAGGTGGGTGCTACCACCTGGCCTGACTCATCTTTTTCTTATAGTATCATTCTCAATTTCAGAGGAAAATGTTAAATAATTTGTCATTAAACATGATAATTACTATAAAGTTTTAGTAGATTGGTGGGAGGGTGGCTTGGTTTGGGTTTTTTGAAACAAGGTTTCTCTTGCTCTATAGCCCAGGGAAGCTTCAAATATGCAGTCTTCTGCCTCAGCTTCCAGAGTGCTGACACTATAGGCATATACTCCCATCCATAAAGATTTGCTTGGGTTTATTTTTATTTTTATTATTTTAGTTGCCGTAGAAAATAATGGGTTTCATTTTGACATTTTCATTCATAAATGTCATTATACTTTGTTCATATTCAGTATATAAAGTTCTAATTGTTGGCCTGTTTTGAGATAGAATCTCACGTAGCCTTGGCTGGCCTGGAACTCACTAATGTAGACAAGGATGACCTTGATCTCCTGATCCTTCTGCCTCTACTTCCCAAGTATTGATACTATAGGCATGGGCCACCACATCTGGCTTTAAGGATCTGTTTTGTTTTGTTTTGTTTTGTTTTGTCTTTTTGAGATAGGGTCCCCCTGTAGCCCCAGCTGGCCTTGAACTTACAGAGATCTGCTTGCCTCTGCCTCCAGAGTGCTGAGTTTAAAGGCCGTGTACCACCAGCCCAGTGCTTTAAGGGTTTTTTAATCAATATTTTTTTATAATTTTTTTTATTATTTTTATTTTATGTATATCTGTGTATTGCCTACATGTAGGTAAATGCACCCATGTCGTGCCATGCCCACGGAGGTCAGAAGAGGCTGTCGGATCCCCTGGGACTGGAGTTACGGACAGTTGTTAGCTGCCATGTGGGTGCTGGGATTCAAACCTGGGTCTTCTGCAGGAACAGCCAGTGTTCTTAACCACTGAGCCATCTCTCCAACCCCAATCAATATTTTTAACATAAAAAAGTCTGCTTATATTGCTAATTGGTTAAAAGATTTGTCTTTAAATAATGGTAATTTTATCAAAAGTTTTTTCTATATCTGTTAATATCTAATTAATATACCCATATTATTATTAGATCCTAGTTATGATGTATTGTATTATTCGTATGTGTGTGGATGGATGGATGGATGGGTGGATGGATGGATGGATGGATGGATGGATGGAAGGATGGGGATTTTATTCATTAAATTTGGTTTCAGATTTTTGTACCTCTTTTCATAGGAGAGACTAGACATAATTTCTCTTATACTTGTTAGCAATTGATATAAAAATTATTAGTAAACTGGATTTGGTAGCGTATGCCTGTAATCCCAGTAACTAGGAGACTGAGCCAGGAAGATCACCAGAAGTTCAAGGCCAGCATGATCTATACTTTGTCTTTTTTTAAAAAATTACTGATTTACCTGGGCATGGTGGTGCACGCCCTTAATCCCAGCAGAGACAGATGGAGCTCTGAGTTCAAGGCCAGCTGGAGCTACACAGGGAGACCTTGTCTCAAAAACACTACAAAAAAATTTTTTCTTAATATGACTGCTATATTGAGATCAGTAGATGGTCTGAATAGTAGTATTAGCAGTCTGAAAGCTGAATCAATGAGCTAAAAGATCAAACTGAGGAATTCCTCCAATAAATACTACAGAGGTTCAAAGAAGTTAAGATAATTGCTAGTATTTCTCTGATAAGAATTCTAGGAAAAGGTGGGAAATAGATTTTAAGAATATCCTAAAGAATGTTTTTATTGGGGCTAGAGAGATGACTCAGCAGTTAAGAGCACTGACTGTTCTTACAGAGGACCCAGGATTGATCCCCAGCACCCACATGGCTAACAACCATCCAAAACTCCAGTTCCAGGGGATCTGACAACTTCTGTTCTCCCCAGGCATTGCACTACATGGTGTACTTATACACATGTAGGCAATACACACATACATAAAAAATAAAAATTATGTAAGTCATATGGACTCTTCCTCACCCAGCAGCAATCAGTCTCAAATAGTTCTCAATCTAGTGCTGGCCGGCCACCTATTTCTCACACTCCCCTTTGGGCCCTTGTTTAATTGAGCTGACATGGGTCCTGAGTTTGACATCACCCCCTGCTGCAGGCTCACATGAGCAAGCCTCCAGTGGCCTGGAAGCCTCCACCTCCTTATGTTCATGAACCAGCCCTGGCTCTTAAAATCTTTCCGCCTCCTCTTCCACAGTGGTCCCTGAGCCGTGGTTGGGTGAGGTTCCATATAGGAATCCCATTCTACATTGGATGGGCTGACTAGACTCCAGTGGACGCATTTACACTGAAAGACATTTGGGTACAAACACCTGAATGAATAGGACTCAAGCATGTAGAGTGGAGTATATAGGGTTCGGTGGGGGGGATGAGGGAGGCATGGATGGGGGAGGGGGATCTGGGTTTGAGTGAGAAACTTTTGAAATTTTAAAACCTCAATAAAACTTTTTTTTAATTAAAGTAATAAAATATTTTTAAAGAATGATTTTATCTTTTGAATCAGGTTATCAGCAAACTCCTCTATTAAAAATCAGGTAGTAAGGGCTAGAGAGATGGATCAGCAGTTAAGAGCATATACTACTCTTCCAGAGGACCTGAGTTCAATTCCCAGCAACCATGTTGAGCAGCTTACAACTAACTGCCTGTAACTCCAGCTCCTGGGGGATCTGTTGCCTCTACTTTCCTCAGGCACCTGTACTCATATGCACATATGTACTCATACCCACACACAGACACATATACACATAATTAAAAATAAAAATCTTGATAAAAATTCAGGTAGTAAATATTTTAGGCTTTATAGACTACAGTGTCTGTCACTATTCAGCTCCACCATTGTGGAGCTGCTATGAACAGTAATGATGGCTAATGTTCAAATAACATTTTATTTGTAATTTGAGACAGTCTGGATTTGGCCAATGGCTGTAGTTTATAGGTCTGCATGTTAGAATAATAGGGCCCATTGAATGGATGTAATCTGTTTTCTATCTCTGAATTTACTTGTCCTGGATGCTTCCTGTATAGAGAACTATATGATATATGATCCCTTTAGCTTTCTTATGATTAATATATTAATTATATTAATATATTCCACTGCATAGACATAACACTCTTTCTTACCTGTTTTTCCATTGATGAAGATTTAGGTGTTTTCTACCTTTTGGGTAAGAATGGTGCTGCTATGATCATTTATCCGCTTTCATTTGAGTGTTTTCAGTTTGGGAGATTATCAATTTCAGATCTTAAATTGCTTGGTCACCTGACAATTCTGTTTATCTGTTTCAGGAACTTCTAAACTATGTTCTTCAGCAGGTGTATTGTTTCACGATTTCACTAGCAATGTACAATTACTCATATTTCTCCACATTCTCACTAACATTTGTTTTTCCCCTATCTAATAAATGTAGCCTTCCTTGTTATATGAAATGCTGGAGTTTCTGTAGATCTGTGCTTTCTCATTTAATCACATAGTGGAAAAATGGTCCACAGACTATAATAAGTACTATAGAAGGTCTCAGTTGGTGTTCAAAACTGCTAGCATGTTTACTTGAAGTTTAAGTGTTTGATTTTTTTTTTTTGGTCTTTTTGAGACAGGGTCTCCCTGTAGCCCCAAATGTCCTGGAATTCACTATGTAGACCAGGCTGGCCTTGAACTCACAGAGGTCCACCTGCCTCTGCCTCCCGAGTGCTGGCATTAAAGGCATGCGCCACCATGCCCGGCTAAGTGTTTGATTTTGAGGTGGTAGTTTAGATAATGATTATCACCTAGACTATATACATTCCCTACACATGTATCTTTGTTTTTCATTCTTTTAGATACCTAAGAAGAAAAGGAATAATAATAAATGAAACATCTGCAGTTGTGTATGCTGAATTACTCACAGGTCGTAAATATCAAATAAATCAAAATGGTGAAGTTCATCTAGAAAAACAGTGGTCAAAACAAGTTCTTCCTTTTGTTTATCAAACTATTGTTAAGGTAAGTCCGCACAAGTCTCAGTTCCCTCTTAATGTACACTGTTATACGTTATGAAACATAATTGCCAGCCTGTTGGTACACACCTATACTCCCATCTACTTGGAAGGCTGCCACAGGAAGATCACAGGTTCAAGGCTAACAATTGTCTGTAACTCCAGTTCCAGGGGAATTTGGCACGCTTTTCTGACCTTCATGGTCATTGCATGACATGAATACACTTACATACATGCAGACAATGTACACATAAAAATAAAAATATTAAATAAAATATTAGTCACGCATGGTGGTACACACCTTTAATCCCAGCACTCAGGAGGCTGAGGCTGGTGGATCTCTGAGAGTTCAAGGCCAGTCTGGTCTACATAGCAAGTTTCAGGCCAGCTCGGGCTATAGGGAGATCCTGTCTCAAAAAAACAAAACAAAAAAAACAACCCATAAGTAAAGTATTAAAAGAAAGAAGAGCTGGAGAGATGGCTCAGTGGTTAAGAGCACTGGCTCTTCTTGCAGAAGACTCAAGTTCAAATCCCAATATCCATATGGCAGTTAACAACTGTCCATAACTCCAGTTCCAGGGAATCCAGTGCCCTCTTCTGACCTCTGTGGGCATTGCACGACATGGGTACATTTACATCCATGCAGGCAATGCACTCATACACATAAAATAAAAATAATAAATTTTAAAAAATAATAAAAAAGAAGACTTGGATAGAACACTTGCCTAACATGAGTTTTATTTATAAGTAGAATGTGCATTACAACCTTTTTAAAAATTACATCACACCAGGCCTGGTGGCACATGCCTTTAATCCCAGCACTCGGGAGGCCAAGGCAGGATGATCTCTGAGTTCAAGGCCAGCTTGGTCTACATAGTGAGTTCCAGGCCAGCTGGGGCTGCAGGGAGACCCTGTCTCAGAAAGACCAAAAACAAAAAAAAAATTATATCACAAAATATATTATTTGGGGGCTGTCTGGCTCAAGAGATAAGGGTGCCTGCAGTTTGAGGTCCTGAGTTCAATCCCTGGAACCCACATGGTGAAAGGAGAGAACCTACTCCTAAAAGTTGTCTTCTGATGTGTGTATTTGTCTGTGTGTGTATGTGTACGCATACACACTAAATTTAAAAAAATTTAATGTTATTCTGTATAAGGACTGTTTCATATTCAGATTGTGTATAAGTAAGGAACTTGGTTTTGATCTTGTGATTTTAAAAAATATTTTATATATTATTTTTATTTTATGTATACGCGTATATTGCCTGCATGTAGGTGAGTGCACCTGTGTAATGCAATGCCTGTGGAAGACAGAAGATGTTGTCGAATCCCCTGGAAGTAGAGTTATGGACAGTTGTTAGCTGTCATGTGGGTGCTGGGATTCAAACCCAGATCTTCTGCAAGAACAGTCAGTGTTCTCAACTGCTGAACCATCTCTCCAGCCCCTGATTTTGTGATATTTTTTAAGAACTTAATTTCCAGTAGGAAATTTCTAGCATAAACCTTTGCATTTTAAACAGTTTTAGTATTTTTTGTCCTCCAAAAATTTTGGCCTTAGCCAGTTGTAGTTTGTACACCTGTGATCATTCCAGCACTTGGGAAGCTGAAGCTGATCATGAGTTCATGGCCAGCATGGGCCACATATCATGACCCTTTCTTAAAAATTTTTCTTTTTGCCTGAAATAAACTAATGAATATAAAAGGTACTTGCTTTGTGTTTATAATGTCAGATATTGTAAGGAGACAAATTTCTTTAGCTACAGTAGTTTACCTTTATCCAAAGTTTAGCAGTCTACAGTTTCAGTTACCTGCATTCAATCAAGGTCTAAAAATATCTGAAAGGTGCCAGAATTGAGCAATTCATACATTAAAAATTCCTCACCATTCTGAGCAATGAGTTGAAATCTTCTCTGTCCCTCCTGAGATGGGAATCATTTTTTTGTCCAGCGTTTGCATACTGTATGTGCTACCCAATAAGTAGTATCATGGTCTCAGTTCAGTTGTTATGATATCTATGTGCATGGTACATTTATTTTACTTAATAATGACTCCAAAGTGCCAGGGTAGTGATATTGGCATTAGGCTATGCTTCCTTTAAGTAAAAAGATGAAACTTTTCACCTTAATTAGGAAAGAAAAAATAATCATATACTGAAGATACTCTCATTACATATAGTAAGAATGAGCTGGATGTGGTGGGTCTTTAATCCCACCACTTGGGAGGCAGAGGCAGGCAGATCTCTGTGAGTTCGAGGCCAGCCTGGTCTGCATAGTGAGTTCCAGGCCAGATGGGGCTACAGGGAGACCCTGTCTCATAAAAGACTTAAAAAAAAAAAAAGAAGGAAAGGCAGGAGGGAGGAAGGACGAAATGGAGAAGAATGAATGTTCCTGGACTGGAGAAATGACTCGGTAGTTAAGAGTACTGTTTGCTCTTGCAGAGGATTGGGTTTAATTCCCAGCGCACAAATAGTGGCTAACAACCATCTGTAACTCTAGTTTCAGGGGATCCAGTACCCTCTTCTGGCGTCTGTGGACATTGCACACACAGGTGCATTTTCATACGTGCAACACAAAACACACATACATATAAAAATAATCCCTGGACTGGAGAGATGGTTCAGCAGTCAAGAGCACTGGTTGATCTTACAGAGGAACCAGGTTCAGTTCCTAGAACCCACATGGTGGCAAACAACCATCTGTAACTTCAGTTCCAGGGGATCTGATGCCCTCTTTTCACCTCTGTGAACATTACAACACGGGTGCATGTACCCAAATGCAGGCAATATACTCACATAAAAATGGTAAAGTATATTTTAAAAATAAATAAGATCCAAAAATAATTTTTAACTTTTGAAAACAAAACAAAAAAGAATGAATTTTCTAACCATGAAATGGTGAAGAAAATTACTAGTTTTGCTATTTGCTATTGAGCATCAACCTTGGAACTGTGGCCACATCTTAGAATTCAGTATTTACTCACATAGGCATTGTATCCTCACATCACATGAGAGAAAAAAAAGCGACTACAGGGGCTGGAGAGATGGCTCAACAGTTAAGAACACTGGTTGTTCTTGCAGAAGACTTGGATTCAAATCCCAGCACCCACATGGCAGCTAACAGCTGTCCATAACTCCAGTCCCAGGGGATCCAACAGCCTTTTCTGACCTCCGTGGGAATTGCACTTATCTACATGCAGGCAATACATGCATACACATAAAAATTTTTTTTTTAAGTGACTACAGATATTTTGAGAGCAAGGGACCACATTCAAATAATCTTCTGTTTTATTACTATTACCTGATTTGTAAACTAAGCTTTGTAATAGATTTTTTTTTATTTCTTTAATTTTTTTTTTTTTTTTTTTTTTTTTTTTTTTTTTGTAGTCTCAGCTGATGTGGAACTCACTTTAAAGACCAGGCTGACCTCTATCGGCCTTGAACTCACAGAGATCCGCCTGCCTCTGCCTCCCGAGTGCTGGGATTAAAGGCGTGTGCCACCACGCCTGGCTAATTTATTTATTTTTATGTATATGGGTTTTTTCCCTGCATGTATGTAAGTATACCCATGTCTGCAATGCCCACAGAGGCTAGAAGAAGCCATCAAGATTCCCTGGAACTGGAGTTATGGACAGTTGTTAGCTGCCATATGGGTGCTGGGTACTGAACCTGGGTACTCTGCAAGAGCAGCCAGTGCTCTTAACCACAGCACCATCTCTCCAGCCCTGTCATAGATAAGAAAAAAATGTATAGGTTTTAGGGGTATCTGTGGTTTCACGCATGCACAGTATGGAGGGGACTTGGAATTTACCCCTCTCCCATAGATGGGGGGAATACTGCTATATGTAGTAATCCTGCAATTTAGGGGATATAGTTAAGAGATAGACTGCCTGAATTGGCTTTTTTGTTATGTGACCTTGAACATGATTCATCCCCTGTTATGCCATTCTTTGTCTATAAAGTGAGGTTAATAATAAATGTTTTCTGCCACAGAGGATTGTGTTAAGAAATAAGTGGACTAGATAAATGTATAAAGTACCTGAAAGAGTACATGTTTTAACAAGTCAGTATTCCTATAGTGTTCTATATAAATCTTTGTATTTGACATTTGAAGACAAAATAGATATGATCCCATAAGAAAAAAAAACATGATATGCAGTCTTCAGAAATACTGGCTATGATAATTGACTTTCATATTTCATTTATGTAGGACATCCGAACTTTTGACTCTCGTTTCTCCAATATCAAAACACTGGATGATCTGTTTCCTTCTAGAAGTATGGTCTTTATGCTGGGAACTCCTTATTATGGCTGCACTGGAGAAGTTAGTTTCCATTTTGTTATTACTTAAATTTCTTTCTACTTTCAAGTTAATAGAAGCGCAAAGCAAAATGTAATACCAGAAGGGAAACTTAAAATTTCTTTCATGTAATTTATGAGCACAGTATTTGGTTAAATGTATTTAGTGATAATGGTCAGGAGGTGGAGAAAAGAATTTAAATTCTAGTGGTTTTAATAAATTTTTTTATAGTATAAAGCAATTATAAAACTATTTTCGGTAGATTACAGGGTTAAGTCGATTTTTAAATGTGTTTATAATTTGAACTCCACATCTTACATGGGAAAAAGTACACTCAAATACTGAATGGAAGAAAATAAAGAGTCTGTAGAAATATAGATTTTGAGGTACTGGCAGGGATCCCAAAATATATAATGTATCTAGGCACTGACCTAAAAAACCACATTTACTTTTGGTATGCTACTATAAACAATAGTCTTTATATTATCACTATGGAATCATCAGTTCTTCTTTTTTCCCTCAGCAGCTTCTAATTTGTTATTGTACTTAATTATTCTGGTACTTAAACTATTGAGATTTGGCCAGTGCACAAGGCCCTGGGTTTGCTTCCCAAAACACAAACAAAAGTAAGTGTGGAGAGAATGGTGGTGTTAGAAAACCATTTTGCAATGTAAGGAATGAGTCAGTGAAAAATGAATTATCTTTGAAAACTAAAGCTAGAGGAAATTTTATCTGAAGTAGATTTTTACATGGTCTTAAAGTATCTTTTCATAGAATGTCAATTACCTACAAGAAGCACAAAAGCTATAATTGTGACATGAAGAAATTCAGCAACATGTTGAAAACATGGTCAAAGTTGGTAGCATGATCAGACATTGATTAATACTTTATACTTCCATATATGATACCCTAACATGGACACATCACATATGGGATAGTCTGGCAGATAGTATATAATTTCAGTACAAATAAGCAAAATAAGGAACTTTTGGGGGAGGAAGGGGGAGCAAGAGGTTGCTGTAGCTCAGTGGTAGAGTACTTGCTTAGAATGCCTGAGACCCTAGGTTCAGTCCCCAGTACTACACAAATACACACACACACATACACACACACACACACACACACACACACACACACACAAAGGCAGAGTAAAAAGGGAAGAACAAATTACATTCTTCAGAGTTCCAATATTGTTAAAACAAGCAAATATTCCAAATCAAAGAATACTAAAAACACAAGTAAATGCTAGGGGTATAGCTTAGTGAAGCCCTGTTTCAAAAAGAGTAAACAGGTGGTCATGAGGATACATATCTGTAATCTCAGCTTGGAAGACTGAAACTGGAGGATATGCATTTAAAGCCTGCCTGCGCTACATAGCAAGACCATGTCTCCAAAGCAAGAAGACACAAAGCTGGAGAGATGGTTCAAGGGTTAAGAGCTCTGGCTGCTCTTGGAGAAAACCCTGGTTCAGTTTCCAGCACCCACGTGGCTGGCTAACAAGTCATCTGTAACTCCAATTCCAAAGGATCCTACACCTTCTTCTGGCTTCTATGGGCATTGCACGTGTGTGTGTGTGTGTGTGTGTGTGTGTGTGTGTGTGTGTAGGCAAAATACTCATTCACATAAAATAAAAATTTTTTTAATTTTAAACTAAAAAAGAAGACAGACAACTAAATACAGGATTCTGTATAGGACATTATTAGATCAACTGACAAAATTGGAACATGGATAGTAGCTGAGACTAAAATATCAATATAAATTTATATACCTAGTATCTATACTGTTGTTTTATATAAAAAAATATCCTTAGGAATATATACTAAAAGAAGAAATACAGTAAATTAAGGGATATGTTATCTGTAATATATCCTCAAAGCATTCAGAAGAGCTGGGTATGGTAGTATGTGCCTATAATCCCAGCATTAGAAACACTGAAGCAGGAAGATTGCCTCAAGGTCAGGGCCAGCCTGGGCAACATAATGAGTTCAAGGTTAGCCTGGGCATGCATAGTAAAACCCTGTCTCAAAAAAAAAAAGGCATTCAAAAGAATAATTATATATGGGGTTGAAGAGATGGCTCGGTGCTTAAGAGCATTGACTGCTCTTACAGAGGACCTGGGTTTGGGTCCTAGCCCCACCTGGCAACTAAGAACCAGCCTTAACTCCAGTTCCTCTGACCTTCACGAGCATTGCACAACACTTACACACATTGCACTTACACACATGTAGGCAATACACTCATACACATAAAGTAAAAATAATAAAATATTTAAAAAATAATTATGTATATAAATATATGCAAAGTACACAAATGTTATAGTCATTCTTTGTGGCGTTAACAATGAGTGAATCTGGGTAAGTGTCTTCAGGTATTCTTTGTGCTTTTATTTATGTAATTTTTTTTAGTAATTGAAATATTCAAATATATTAATTTTTAAAGTGATTAATAGCTATTAAAGCAAGTATAAAATTGTCACTTTTACAATATTATATTTTCTTGTAAATTCTGTGAAAATTTCCACTGCCTAATTTTATTGTTCTAGTTTAGAAAGAATATCATTCAAATAAGGGGAAAAATTAAAAGTGTAATGAAAGATATTTAAGCTCCGTGATTTTTTTTCCCCCTCCCCTCTAAGGTTCAGGATTCAGGTGATGTGATTACAGAGGGTAGGATTCGTGTGATTTTCAGCATTCCGTGTGAACCAAATCTTGATGCTTTAATACAGAACCAGCATGTGAGTACAGTAGTTGGTATTGTTTCATTTAGAATATGCTTTTTACATGTTAGGATATTTTTACTGCCTCCTTCAAATTAATTTCAGTATTTTATTTTAAGAATAAGCATAAAGTAGACTGAGAGTTGGCTCAGAGGTTAGGAGCCCTTGACTGCTCTTGCAGAGGACCAAGGTTCCATTCCCAGCACCCACATGGCAGCTAACAACTGTTGGTAACTCTAGTTCCAGGGAATTCAATGCACACTTCTGACCTCCGTGACCATCACATGACATGGGTGCACTTGCATGCATGCAGGCAGTACACTCATACACATAGAATAAAAATAATAAAATAAAAAACAATGAGCATGAGGGGCTGGGGAGATAGTTCAGTGGGTAATGTGTTTGCCGTGAAGCATGAGGACTGAGTTCAATCCTCAGTACTCACATAAAAAAACTGAGCATAGTGGCACACACTTGTAATCCAGTTCTGGAAGGTGGATCCCTGGGGGCTGCTTGCCAGTCAGCCTAGCCAAATTAGTGAATGCCAGGCTAGTGGGAGACCCTGTCTCAAAATAAAAAACAGAGTAGATGGCACCTGAGAACAGATGGCACTAGATGGACCCTGAAGTTGTCCTCTGGCCTCCACACACTTGCTTACACATGTGTGCTCACACCCACACACCTACATACAAAGGATGAGCTGTGCATGGTGTCTCAGAATAATCCATCCACTCAAGCTGCTGAAGTAGGAGTGTTGCTGTAAGGCCTGGACTACAGCATAAGACGTCTCAAAAAAAAAGTATGTAGACAGCAAGATTTTTCAGTGATTAAAGGTGCTGGCTGCCAAGCCTGATTGGTTGAGTTCAGTCCCTAGACCACATGGTTAAAGGAGAAAATGAGCTCCTAGAAGCTGTTTTCTGACTGCCGCACATGCACTGTGGCATGTGCCCACACATATTAATACCATCCCAACACCCCCCTACACACACATAAGGAAAAAATGTATAAATGTATTGCCAAAAATTCATGCCTGGCATGGTGGTGCACACCTGTAGTCCCAGCACTTGGGAGGCAGAGGCAGGCAGATCTCTGTGATTTCAAGGCCAGCCTGGCCTACATAGTGAATTCCAGGCCAGCTGGGGCTGCAGGGAGACTGTCTCAAAATTCCAAAAAATTCATGTAAATTTATTCCTATAAATCTAGCCTATCATGTGTAAGTACCCACATTCAATCCCTAGCACTGAAAAAAATGTATGCACATATTGGGGCCTGGAGAGTTGGCTCAGAGGTTAAGAGCACTGGCTGCTTTTGCAGAGGACCTGGGTTTGATTCCCAGCACCCACATGGTGTCTAACAACTGTCTGTAACTCCAGATCCAGGGGATCCAACTCCTACTTCTGACCTCCGTGGACATCACACAACGTGGATGCACTTACATACATACAGGCAGTGCACTCATACAAACAGAATAATAATAAATTTTAAAAAAAGAATACATACACGTGTCAAAATCTTTAGCAGAAAAAAATTGTAGAAATTCCATTATTGTTTGTTGTTCATTTTGGATTGTTTTGTTGTTGTTTCTCATTTTGGATGGTATTTTTGAGACAGAGTCTCCTTTTAGCCCCAGCTGGCCTAGAACTCCTATGTAGACCAGGCTAGCCTCAAACTCACAGAGATCCACCTGCCTCTGCCTCCCGACTAAAGGCATGTGCCACCATGCCTGACCTTGTTGTTTATTTTGTATTGTGATCATGCTTAAGGCATTAAGCATCAGAATACCCTTGAAACTTTCTATGTAGAGTACAGAAGTGTTCCTAAGAATCTTACCATCAGGTATCTATTAGAGAAATAATTTAGACAACATAGGAGACCGGCAGAATGTCCTATTAGACAAAAAAGCTGGAATTTTGTTACAAGAGTCAGTGAAGGTGGAAGAACCTGTGATCTTCTGTATATACCCTTTTAACTTGCACTTTCTCTACCCCAATGTTTCCAATTATTTTTCAATGCTTTTGTTTATTTTTTCATATTTTTAGGATATTATTTTAATAACCTTTAATTATAGAAAAACCCAGAATTCCTAAAATAGGGTACCATTAGTATTGGAACAGTACAGTTATAAATATGGCAGTTATGTCAATAGGACATTTGCCCCTGGGCACTAAATGCTCATAACCCATGCCATTTATCATAAATGAGTGTACCTCTACACATTTCTAAATGCTTAGTAGGAAATGATAATCCTGCAATTGAACTCCTAATCCTCCTGCCTTCCGCTCTGTAGTGCTAGCATATCCTATCTACCTCTACATTCAGAAAGCTAGGGATGTAGCTTAGTTGGTAGAGAGCTTACCTAGCATACATGAGACGCAGGTTCAATCTCCAGCACTGCATAAACAAGGCTTGGTGGTCCACATCTGTGGTCTCAGCACATAAGAGATTGCAGCAGGAGGATCAGAAATTCAAGATCATTCTCAGTTATATAGCAAGTTCAAGGCCAACTTGAGCTACATGAGACCCTGCCTCAAAAAAAACAAGAAAGCATCATCATCATCATCATCATCATCATCATCAATATCATTTAGTCTTACAGTTCTGAATATATGCAGAAGCCTATGGCATAGAGATATTCTGAACTTCCTAAGCAAGAAGGTTCTATGATGCAAGGAAATGAATATTTTGTACTCTGGAGTATCTTATTTAAACCCTGGAAAACTCATTCAAAATAAGGTTGTATGTGCCTTTAAATAGGAACTCAAATAGATTCCCTGGCACTGCACTGCCAAGCGTCAGTTCAACTTTATTTCATTCCCAGCCTCTCAAAGATGAGAATGGGAATTCCTCATTCAGTGAACTCAGCACTATTGCACCTAAATCATTTGGATGTGATCTGCCTGTCTGCTGGTGGGGCCATTCGACTGTATGCCTTAAAAGAAAATATTTCTCAAACCCAGAGTAATTTCTTTCCTCCCTTCCCTTTGCAGAACTTGGAGATTTGACTGGGGCGATGGTAAGGATGATATCTGTTAAGTTAGCCATGATGCCAGAACAATCTCTCCCACTGCTGTTCTCATCTCACATCCCTCCTCCTCTGCTTAAAGTACAGGATGCTGGACCTCAGTTTCATCTTCTTTCAAGTGGTGACCATTACTACCTTGTATTCCTATTCCATAGATCTGAGTATTAGATATGTATTCAAAGTGTCTGTAACATGGCAAGTCACCATGATTTCCATTATTACTATTGATCTTATCTCTTAGTCAGTTGTTTGCCATGTGGGTGCTGGGATTCAAACCTGGGTCTTCTGTAAGAACAGTCAGTGTTCCAGTGTTCTTAACCCCTGAGCCATTTCTCCAGCCCCTCTAATTTACTATTTTTTTTATTTTATGTGTATGCATGTATTGCGTGCATGGAGGTAAGTGCACCTGTGTCATGCAATGCCTGCGGAGGTCAGAAGAGGCTGTTGGATCCCCTGGGACTGGAGTTATGGACAGTTGTTAGCTGCCATGTGGGTGCTGGTATTCGAACCCAGGTCTTCTGCAACAACAACCAGTGTTCTTAATCCCTGAGCTGTTTCTCCAGCCCCAGTACCTCTTTGTCTTAATTTCAGTCTTTATTATTTTTCCTTAAGTACACAAATTAAGTTTGCATTTCTTTGACTATACTTTTATATACTAGTAAATATTAGAGAAAAGAATTACTCATATCTGTTTATAAATTGAGGCAGTTTTACAAATTTATATCAACAACCAGTGTTCTTAATCCCTGAGCTGTTTCTCCAGCCCCAGTACCTCTTTGTCTTAATTTCAGTCTTTATTATTTTTCCTTAAGTACACAAATTAAGTTTGCATTTCTTTGACTATACTTTTATATACTAGTAAATATTAGAGAAAAGAATTACTCATATCTGTTTATAAATTGAGGCAGTTTTACAAATTTATATTTCTTTACCTTTCATCCATCCTTGGGGATTCTGTCCTTTAAAGAGAAAAAGAGAAGAACTTTCAGATCCTTATAAAGAAGTAAGGGGGCTAGAGAGATGGCTCAGTGGTTAAGAATACTTGCTGCACTTGCAGAGATCCCAGGGTCAGTTCCCAGCACCCACGTGGCAGCTAACAACTGTCCGTAACTCCAGTTCAAGGGGATCTGATGCCCTCTTCTGACCTCTGAGGACATTGTACAACACAGATACACTTACATACATACAGGCAATACACTCATATGCATAAAAATAAAAATAATAAATAATTCTTTAATAAAAGGGAATATAAGGGCCAGGGGGCAGGGATTGGAGGAAAGATCTAAGTGAGAATGTTTATATTACCAAAATCCCATGTTCTCTTGTTTATCTCCAAATTTTAAAAGTAATGAAATAACACTTATTTTTATTAACATGTTTCCATAACTCACCTTTTTATTTTTATATTTAAAGAAATATTCTATAAAGTACAACCCGGGATATGTGTTGGCCAGTCGCCTTGGAGTGAGTGGATACCTTGTTTCAAGGTTTACAGGAAGTATTTTTATTGGAAGAGGATCTAGGAGAAAGTAAGTTTATGTTAGAGACATTTTCTTAAAGTAGCAGAAAAATTAATTGATAGAGATTAAATGCTTAATATCTCGGTGTTTATTTTCTCCTATTAATTACTGTGAATTCTTTTAAAATTGTACATAAATTCCTTTTATATGATCTTTTATATGAATGGCATATGTTATAGATGGTTTCAAGAACATTTTTTATTTTTAGCAGCTAACCTTGAAAAAAGGTATCAGAGGGTGTGTGTGAACCTCAAATATTTATTTCCTTGCCTTTTATTATCTCATTTTTCTTTAATTATAGAATTTATTTATATGCTTTCTTAACTTGGATTTTGAAGCCTCTCCTGTAGTTTTAATTTCTGCTAATTAGAAGTAACCATAATAACTAAAATATAGAACAGTCAAAACTGAGGTTTTCTAAGAATTGAAATGAAAATTTGGGGACTGGTGATGTAGCTTAGTGGTATAATACTTGTCTAGCTTGTATGCTTTGGATTCAGTCTCTAGCACTACCAAAAAAAAATAGCAAAACTTTTATTTCTTGAGCCAATTTTAAAACTCTGTGTGTGTGTGTGTGTGTGTGTGTGTGTGTGTGTGTGTGTGTGTGCGCACGCGCGTGTTTTAATATTAGCCCTCATGGAGACCATAAAGCCAATGTGGGTTTGAATCTCAAATTCAACAAGAAAAATGAAGAAGTCCCTGGATATACAAAGAAAGTTGGAAATGAATGGATGTATTCATCTGCAGCAGAGCAGCTTCTTGCAGAGTACTTAGAGAGGTAAGCTGCCAGCACTATTTCACTAGGCATCCAGAAGCCTAGGAATGTACTATCTTTTTCACTTCCTTGTGCCACTTTTAAAGATAATTATTTCCGGGGCTGGAGAGATGGCTCAGTGGTTAGAACACCGACTGTTCTTGCAGAAGACCTGAGTTTGAATCCCAGCACCTACATGGCAGCTAACAACTGTCCATAAGTCCAGTCCCAGGGGATCCGACAGCCTCTTCTGTCCTCTGTGGGCATTGCACGACATGGGTGCACTTACCTATATGCAGGCAATACACACAAACACATAAAAATATAAAAATAATAAATATTTTTAAAAATATGTTCACTCCTAATTTACAACTTAATGTTCTTTCTGTTATTACTCTGGTTTATAGCCTTCTTATAGTTAAGCATCCCTGTATAGTTTCATAGGACTCCCATAATAAAGTACCACAAACTAGCTTAAACAGGGTAAATTTTCTTATCCCATGAGTCTGGTAATCAAAATCAAGATGTCAACAGAATGATGGTCTCTCCCTCTCTTTTAGTTTCTTAAAACTTGGTGTACTATTTGGTTTGTAAAATCATCGCTCCAGTCTTCTGTCTTCAAGAGGCATTCTCCCTCCTAACATAACTTCACATCAGCTTTCATCTGTATGTGCCAGTCTGTCTACCTCTCCTTTTTATAGTACCACCAGTCATTTGATTAGAGCCACCCTGATAGTTGTCACTGTAAAAACCCCATTTTAGCCAGGCCTGGTCGTGTATGCCTGTAGTCCCAGCACTTGAGAGGCAGAGGCAGGCAGATCTCTGTGAGTTCAAGGCCAGCCTGATCTCCATAGTAAATTCAGGACAGCTGGGGCTACAGGGAGACCCTGTTTCAAAAAGACCACCACCAACAACAAAAAAAATAAATAAATAAAAATATAACATAGATGAGAGGACCGATAGATGAGAGGCATGTGCCACCACACCCAGCTTTTCTCTCATCTCTTTCTACTACGCCTCATCCATTTTCTATATTGTTCTACTGTAGGAAACTTCAGTTCTCTCTCTTTAAGAAAAAATTATTAAATTTTATTTTACATCTGTGAGTGTTTACCTGCATATATGTATACTGTGTGCATGCCTGATGCCCACAGAGACCAGAAGAGGGCATCAGATTCCCTGGAACTGGAGCCACCATATGGGTGCTGGGAACTAAATCCAGGTCCTCTGTAAGAGTAGCAAGTGCTTTTATCTGATGAGCCAGGTCTCCAGCCCCTTCTCTTTCCTTGTTTTTAAGGACAGGATCTTAGGCAAGCCTCAAACGTGCAAAGAAGCACAGATTGGTCTTAAACTTCAAATTCTCCTTCGTTAACCTACTTAATGTGGACTCATAGGCATGTGCCAACATACATTCATCTTTTTTTGTAATTAGTTTTTGTTTTTGTTTTTCTACTTTTTTGAGACAGGGTCTCCTTGTACCCCCAGCTGGCCTGGAACTTGCTATGGAAATCAGCTTGGCCTCAGTCTCACAGAGATCAGTCTACCTCTGCCTCCTAAGTCCTGGAATCAAATCGTGCACCACCGTGCCGGGACTATTTTTTTGTTTGTTTTTTGAAAATTTCATACATGAGTGCTGTATTTTCATCATTTCTGCCCCTCCCATTGCCCCCTCAAAGTCTTCCCATGCCCCTCAACATAAATTTGTTGTGGTTTTTTTTTTTTTAATAATGAATAGAATGTTTTCCTTTTCAAAAATTATTATTAGTTTTTTTTTTTCAGTATTTACAATCTTTGTTTTTGGTTTTTTTTTTAATTATTTAATAACCACATACTTAGAAGAAGCATTTCATTACAGCATTGACATATTCAATAACAATTTGCAGAGCTAAGATGCATTTCTTTCAAAATTGGCTGTAAATTTTTAGGTTTACAGTTGAATTAATACGATTATCAATATTGTACTCAGTATTAACCCTATAAGACATAAATTAAATGACGTTTTAACCTTTCAAAAAGATCTCCATTTCATTATTAAAATACACAGTTTCATACAGAAAAATTCTTTTTCAATGAATTGACATTAAGATGTTTGCACATGAATTTCTAATCTCTATATGTCAGATTATTACTAGTCACAGTCGGTTACTTTCTGAGCTGCTTGGCATCTGAGAATGGATATAAAGTCATCGGGTAGATTTCAGTGATAATGTTTTTCACATCTACTAATTATTAAGGAGCAGATTTTTATGCTTTGAAGAATTACTATTTTTTAATCATTTTTTAAAAATCTTTAATAACTGCATGATTAGAAGCTTTTCACTACAGCCTTGACATATTCAGTAACACACTCTAGAGCAACAGTACATCTCTTTCACAAGTGGGTGCAAGTTTCTAGGTTCACAGTTGAATTAATATAGTTATATATTATTGAACTC